GCTCTCCGTTCCCGCTTGTGCTGGCGCCGAGCAGGGGCGGCCGGTGTGGGTGGTCACGGCGTGGCCAGGCCGCCCTCCAGCTCCCAGACAGCCCAGCGGCCCCAGCTTCACGGCAGGTTTTGAGTTCACCTCTTCCACTGAGCACTCAGGCTCATTTCCCCCCAATCCGTGGCATTGCACTCTGGGCTTAACCTCGAATCCCCTTCCAGACAGCAGGACCCTCACTCAGGTGACCATGGGAAGCTCCGTGGGCCTCCTCCTCCTGGGACCCTTGTCACTCCTGCCTGCAGCCCCTCGGCCCCCACCCCCGGCAGGCTCCTCCGAACCCGGCCCGCCTGGCGCAGACCTGTCCATGTCCCCTCATTTCATAAACAGACGAAGCCCTGGGCGGTGGGGCCCCAGCCTGGACCAGCGCCGTCAACAGCGGGGCGGCCAAGCGACACCTAGGAGGGCCCTTACAGTCACCCCCACCCGCCCTGCTCTGGGAGAGGAAGTGTCACGTCCCCGTCCCGCCGCGTGTGACAGCTGCATCTTTGTGGCCCTGACCGCGGAGGCCGCCCCTCCAGTCTTCAGAAGCCTGCCTGTGCGTGCAGCCCCTGCCTGGGCGGAGCAGCGGCATTCAGAGCTGACGAGGCAGGCTCCTGAGGACCGACCCCCACGCTGTCCCTTGTACCCCTAGAGGCCACGTGCGGGCGAGTCCTCCTCTGCCTCCTGCCAGGAGCTGAGGAGGCGCAGGCGGAGGTCCAATAGCCACTGTCCACACCTGGGCCCCGGCCCAGCCTGCTCTCAGGCACCTGCCGGCTTCCGTGTGGAGCAGACCACACCCACGTCTCCAGCCCGTGGTGTGGAGGCTGGCCTGTTCTGGGGCCTGGGGTGTCAATCCCGGGACCCCAGCCTGCCCAAAACACCCTCAAGGCAACGTAGAGCCGTGTGGTGCCAGGTCGGGGCAGGAGGGCGGTGGGCACTCCTCGTGTGGTCAGTGGCCCTGGAGGCTTTCTGGAACCTTCCTCCCAAGTCACCTCAGCGGGGTGGCAGCCACACGTCTGTCCAAGTGCAAGAGCCATGGGGGCGGGGCCGGCGCGTAGCTGGGGGCGCAGGCTCCTCGAGCTCCTTTCCGTCAGAGCCCAGAGGCGGCTCTTGTAGCTCCCAGCTTTATGGGCCCTTGTTCCAGTGGAGGATGGGGTGCACGTTTAACCTCTTCCCACGTTAAACTTGCTGCCGCAGAGGTGCAGTGAACTGGCCTCTCCCTGCCCACAGGAGGGGAGCATGACCCCGCCGGCCCCTGGACGGCCAGGTCGGGAGGCCGGGCCTGGGCAGGGCGCAGCGGCACTAGGGGAGGGGCACGGGATCTGCTCTCCCTGCAGGTCCCGCCACGTGCGGGCGCCCTGCCCAGGGTCTGCCCTCACCCTGCCTTCGTGGGTCCAGCTGTGTCTGGTCGGCTGTCAGGAGTCCAGATGCGGCGGTTGGAGAGCCCCAGACATTAGGAGAGGCGCCTTCACCTCTGATCGGTAGCCTGGCATCGACCGTCTCGAGTGATACCCACCTGGGGCCTCCTCCCCAAACCTGGCCTTGAATCCACGGGGAGAGGGTTTGAACTTGGACCTGAGTAGAGATGAGCGGGGGCGGGTGAGGGGCCTGGACTGGTGGAAGAGACCGCGGATGCCCGTTCACAGAGGCTGGGGCTGGGGACAGGCAGCCCAGTGCGGCCGCACCCAAGGACTCCCTCGCAGAAACCAGTTCCACAGGCGGCCTGGCAGGACCCAGGGGGTGGG